TTTTCTTATTCCAGAGTCCAATATATATATGGTGTAATACTTGCAGAGTGGGGCATACAATTTTTAACATTTCAACATTAAGCTTCAACCTTTACATGCAGGCCATTACATCAGGCATTCTCAAACTGCGGCCTTCCAGCTGTTTGGGCCTCCAACTCCCAAAATTCCTGATAACTGAACAAGCTGGTTAGGGCTTCTGGGAGTTGGAGGCCCAAACAGATGGAGGGCCGCAGTTTGAGCATGCCTGCATTACAGATTGTTCAAATTCCACTTTTATTTCAATATACCCTACGCATGTACTGTACAAGAGAAGTTGGCTACACCCTCTGATTTTAACCTTTCTGCAAGACTGAATAAATATAGTGCAATGTCTATCACATGCAGAATGTTGAAGCTGTATAAAATGAGGTCACCTAAGCCTTCTGCAATCCATGTCTAAGCATCAAACCACCTGTGACAACCCAACCCTTGTATTTGTTTATGTTTGTACCAGTATTGAATGTTTGCCATATTATTTTGGAAGCCACCCTGAGTCCCTTGAGGAGAGAGGGCAGGTTAAAAATATCTCCCTCTACAAACCACCAAAGGACATTAAGATCATTTGGGGAGGCCCTGTTCTCTGTCCCACCACCTTTGCAGGCGCGACTGGGGGGACAAGAGACAGGGCCATCACTGTGTTGGCTCCTTGACTGTGGAACTCCCTCCCCAATGAAATTATATCTGCCCCCTCCCTCCTGACCTTTTGTAAAAAACTCTAAAACCTGGCTGTGGGATCAAGCATTTGGACAATAGATTGAGCAACTAGGAAAAGTGACCGCAATGGATTGACCTGAATTATGATTTTGAACTGGTGAACTGTTTTTAAATTGAATGTTTATAATTGTTTTTTAATTTCTGTTTACTTGTAACTGTCATTTTTAATGTATTGAGTTGGCATCTAATGGCTGCCTGTTGTAAGCCTCCCTGAGTCCCTCTTCGTGGGTGAGAAGGACGGGATATAAATGCTCGAAATCAATCTATCAATAAATATTATGTATAATTTGTTGCTTTATTGGTGATCTTTTCAAGAATATGATCAGTTCTGCTTCATGTACCTCGCCTATTGTTAGGGAAAACTACCCTAAAATATAGCAGAGCACCCAAAAACAAACAGGATACAAAAGTTGAGCAACAGCTCACAGCTAGCCATGTGTGAAGTGCTGTTGGTTGTGTCTCTAAAAAATTAAGATCTTAGGCAGGCAACAATCCAGAGTTCAATCTTAAAAATCGCAAAAGGTTTATTTACAATAATAACAAAAAATTGCATTTCTTTAATACTCAATACTGGGTCTGAGCTACTCTAACACCCATCTCTTAAGGTTTCAAGAGAGGGAAAACTCAATCACTACATCTCTCCTGACACACAATTCAGGAGACATGGGGGAAGGGAAACCCTTAGTCTATATTAAACTAACTGCTCCTTGTTGAGAGCTCCAGACTTGGGAAGTGGGGTTGAATTCCAACACCAATAACTCAAAACTGTCAAAAGAGGCTTGTCTACTGTCTTCTTCCCCCTGCATGCTCATTAAGTGATTCTGGAGACAGCTGCTCTTTACCTTGCCTGTTGTAGGAGAGTTGCATGGTTAGAGGCAAATTAATCACAGTAGATTTCTGCTCTTTCTCAGGTCAATATTTTAATTGCATCACTTATTGAAGACACATTGCAAAAACCCAACAGTCTCTGCTACTCCAGCCATCCTTCACCATCCGCCAAATTCTGATGATCTCAGAAAGTTCATTCATTGTACCAATTTAAACTACTTCCTCAAAGCATAAACTCGGGGTGCATCGAATGCAGTCTGATACCATTTTAACTGCAATTGCTAAATACTGTGGAATCATCGGGTGTTTAGTCTGGTGAAGAATCAGCACTCTTTGACAGAGAAAGCTACAAACTCTATAAAACTACAGCTCCCATGATTCCATAGCACTTAAGCACGGCAAATAAAGTGGTGTCAAATTGCATTCATTCTACAGTGCTAATACACCGCTGATGGCTGTCACAAGTATAGCACAAAGCTGGGGCTGAAGTATCTACTACTGCCAACATTTCATCTTTTCATACTCTGGATATCAGGGTACAGGATCATGCTCTGCACCACTCCCATTTTATAATCTGTATACAACTCTACAGACATGTTACTTTAACTAAAACATATATCCCTTCTTCAGATATCAGCCAGCACGCCAACGCCTTAAATCAAGAAATAGCTTTCTAGGATCTACAGAGATACTTGCAGGAACACCTCAGCAAGCGAGAGTCCAAAAGTGGCAGGCTAAATTCCGAAACCTCAATCCATGGCTGATACCGGATGGGAGACTCCCCCCTGGGCACACAGAAGACAGGGTGACTTGGAAGGTGCTGAACAGATTGTGCTCTGGCTTCACGAGATGCAGAGCCAACCTTAAGAAATGGGGCTGCAAAGTGGAGCCCACAACACACGAGTGCAATGAAAAGCAAACCACAGGCTACTTATTACAATGCAGTCTGAGCCCTGCCATATGCACAATGGAGGACCTTCTTATAGCGACACCAGAGGCACTCCAAGTGGCCAGCTACTGGTCAAAGGACATTTAGTATAATGCCAAGCTTTTAACTTTGTTTGTATTTTTAAATACATAACAAATGTACCCCTCAATTCACTTCTGACATGATAAATAAATAAACTAAAACACAAAACTCATTCTTTGCCACTTAAAATGCCTGACCACTTCGCAGTTATTTAAAAGGACTGCCTTTACCACATTTGTAATACGATAACAGCTGATCAAACCGATAAGGAAGAATTCATATGTTGCTGAAGCAAACAACCAAAAGAGGCAGTTACACCCCAGGGTAAGATGGCTGCAAAAACACGGAAAGAGACAAATGGCTGGAAGCCAGAGTGCTTTGAGTGGCTTATTATAAAAAGCATATTTTGGAAATGCATCAGCAGCCACTAGAGTACTATTGTGGGAGACAAATCAAGGGAAAAATAAAAGAAACGGTAGCACCTTTTAAATTGCACAGCACTACCAAAAATAAGAATTCCTTGTCAGGGGAATTGGTTAGACTACACAGAGAAGACATTGAAATCAACAAGCATGTGGACAATTTCAACAGAAAGGAGAAAACCATGAAAATGAACAAAATCTGGCTACCAGTATTAAAAAAAACTCTAAAATCAGGGTGGTAAATAAAGAGAAACACTCAAAAAGCAGGGGAATTCCAGAGAAGAATGAATCAGCAGCAGCTAACACCTCCCAACAAAGGATTCCCCCGGGCAGGAAGCAACCAGGCTTTGAAGCTGCAAAGCCATTCAATGCTAGTCAAGCTGGCCAATTGTAACACTCACACTTGCCTCAAACAGACAAAGAGTTCTTCCTCCCACTCTGGATATTCCACAGATATATAAACCCCACTTGTCTAGTTTCCAACAGACTTTACAACCTCTGAAGATGCCTGCATAGATGCAGGCAAAACATCAGGAGAGAATACTTCTTAAGCATGGCCCATACAGCCCGGAAAACTCACAGCAACCCAGTGATTTCAGCCATGAAAGCCTTTGACAACACATTGAATTGGTTTAGCCAAAATGTTCTGCACTTGGTTTGCTTTAAGACTAATGTGACAACATTAATTAATTCCCAACTGATTTCAGTACAAGGGGGTGGGTGAGCGTAGAACCAACATCTTGGAGACACACTGCCTCATCCAGACATGTCTACTCCCATTTCATTCAGTGGAATATCCTTCAAAGTAAACGCATTCCAGTCATCACAGCTTAGAAACACAAACAAGCGAGCCTTCATATGCAACTACCCATGTGATCAATTTCACTCAGGCTTCCTTCTCCCTCACTTACTACGCTCAATCTGGGCAAAGGGGAGAAGTGGACTGTTGTGAGTTTTCTGGACTGTATGGCCATGCTCCAGAAGCTGGTTGTGAGGTCTGAGGATGCCTGTCATAGATGCAGGCAAAATGTCAGAAGAGAATGCTTCTGGAACATAGCCATACAGCCCAGAAAATTCACAACAACGCAGTGATTCCAGCCATGAAAGCCTTCGACAATACAAAGGGGAGGAGGTTTGTTTTTACTGTGACCATTCCACGTGTAGCATAGTCCTACCAACTTGGAGTTCAGTGCAGTTTATGTCTCCCGTTCCTACTTGGAAACAAGCTCAAATGCATTCAGAAGTACACACAAACAATAGGGTTTTGTCTTGTATGGTTACTTCAATGCTTGTATAGCAGGTGTGGGCAAACTTTGGCCCTTCAGGTGTTTTTCATTTCAGCTCCCACACTTCCTAATAACCTCAGATCCCTTCCTTTTCCCTCTCAGCCACTTAAGCAGCAAGGCTTTGAAGCTGCGAGGCCATTAAATGCTAATCAAGGTGGCCAATTGCAACAATCACTCTTGCCTCAAGCAGACAAAGAGTTCCTTCTCTCACCTTGAACATCCCACAGATATATAAACCTCACTTGCCTAGTTTCCAGCAGACCTCACAACCTCTGAGGGTGCCTACCATACATGAGGCTGTTAGGAAATGTGGGGCCTGATGCTGTTAGGAAGTGTGGGAGTTGAAGTCCAAAACACCTGAAGGGCCCAAGTTTGCCCATGCATACTGTAGAATGAATGAAGTGACACAACTGGTATTGGCATAGTTCGAAGTGAGGGATCCTGCCATGCACATAGCCTTCACTTCCAAGGAAGACTGGTGCCTCACAAAACTATAACTCCCAGGACTGCAGGGAACTGAGCCTGGGCAGTTCAAAGCAGCGTAGATGCAACCAATGCTAGCTCAGATGGTGCAAACAGGCTTGCTCTTCGTTCTCCCTTCAAGGGAGCCAGTATGCAACTCCATGCTTTTCCCAGAGGCCTATATCCCACCCAGGACTTCGCCCAATGGGGTTTCCCTTTCCGCATGCCTCTGAGCACGTACTGCCTCCCTCCTGCTCGCCTCCTGGCCCACTTACTTACCACTCTTGGCCTGGATGTTCTCTCGGAGGAACTGCCCGCTGGAAAGGTGCTGGAGGCCGAAGCTCTTGGCGATGCGTTCACACACTGTGCCTTTCCCGGATCCAGGGGGCCCCAAGACCACGGCCCGAAGGAGCTTGGAAGCCATGGCACTGGATCTAAGGCAGAGGTGATGCACAGTTAAATACACAAGGCACACTAGGGCACATCTACACTGTGGAATGAATGTAGTCTGACTCCACTTGAGCTGCCATGGCAACCCTAGGAGTCCTGGTTTCAGTCTTTTGCCTCCTCTGCCAAAGAGCGCTGGTGCCTCACCAAGCTACAAGCCCCAGGATTCCATAGCAGAGAAAAGTGGTGTTGAACTGCATCCATTCCACAGTGTAGGCCAGGCCTGGGCAAACCTGGGCCCTCCAGGTGTTTTGGACTTCGACTCCCATCATTCCTAACAGCCTCAGGCCCCTTCCTTTTCCCCCCTCAGCCGCGGTCAGCCCCCCCTCAGCCGCAGTCCTCGATTGTATGCGTGTCAGCAATGGGACAAATAACACTTTTCCCCAAATATAATAAATACAGTAAATAAAGAGCAATACAGATAAGCCATTGAAATCCACAAGCAAGTGAACAATTTCAACAGAAAGGAGGAAATCATGAAAATGAACAAAATCTGGCTTCCAGTATTTTAAAAAACTCTAAAATCGGGACATTAAACAAAGAACATTGCTCAAAAAAAAAAAACAGGGGAATTCCAGACAGGAAACAATCAGGGCCAGCTAACACCTCCCAAAAATAAATATTAATAACAACAATAAAAAACAACAGGGGAATTCCAGACAGGAAACAATCAGGGCCAGCTAACACTTCCCAACAAATAATAATAAACTTTATTTATACCCCGCCACCATCTCCCCAAAGGGGACTCGGGGCGGCTAACATGAGGCCAAGCCCAAAGGTACAAAACAGCAAAAATAAAATACAGACAACATAAATTGCATCAGAATAAAATACATACAGGACAAAAATAACATAAATAAAGCAAATTAACACAATATAAAATCAAACAGAATGGGCAGGCCAGTGGACAAGATAAAATGATAAAATCCTGGATGAAGTAGGAATAAAAATTATGTGACATGAACTTAACATGAAGGCACAAAGGATTCCCCCCAGGCAGGAAGCAGCCAGACCTTGAAGCTGCAAGGTTATTCAATGCTAATCAAGGTGGCCAATTGCAACATTCCCACTTGCCTCCAGCAGACAAGAGTTCTTTCTCCCACCCTGGACATTATTCCACAGATATATAAACACCTCACTTCCCAACAAAGGATTCCCCCCAGGCAGGAGGCAGCCAAGCCTTGAAGCCGCAAGGCCTTTTTCAATGCTAATCAAGCTGCTCAATAGCACCATTCACTCTTGCCTCAAACAGACACGAGTTCTTTCTCCCACCCTGGACATTCCACAGGTCTATAAATCCCACTTGCCTAATTTCCAACAGACCTCTCAACCTCTGAGGCTGCCTGCCATAGATGCAGGCGAAACGTCAGGAGAGAATGCTTCTGGAACACGGCCCACACAACCCGGAAAACTCACAGCAACCCAGCTTTCCCCAAAGTTAACACGAAGGCACACATTCAGGACTTCTCTGCAGCTAGCCAGCCTGCCTTCCTCCTTCCTTACCTCCCTGGGCTTGCTTCCTTCCCAGCCTCCAAGGCAGTAAGAGCTGTGCCTCTCCTCCTCCCTACGAGGCTTGAAGGAGGGTTTCCTTCTCCTCCTGATCAACAAGTGAAATGCCAGGCAGAGCAAGGGCTGGACTTTTCAGCCAAAGTTTGGCACTTCTTTTACCTTCTTTTTTTGTTTGGTTTTGCGCGCGTGAGTTTTCTCTCCTGCTCCCTCCCACCCTCTCGCTCACAATCAATCAATCAATCAATCAATCAATCAATCAGTGCTGAAACTCCTGCTGCTGCTTTCAACTTACCATGCGATCAAATGGAGAAAGAGATAGAAAAAAGAGGAGGGAGAAGAAACCAAGTCCCTCCAAAAAAGAAAAAAAAGGGGGGGGAGTTAAAAAAAAGAATTAAAAATGGCGTTTTTATAATTTTTTTTACATGTTCTCCAGTTTGTCTTCCGCCAATCAAAAATTAAACCAAAAAAATGAAAGCTGCGCCTTTAAGGGAAGGGAAAGGAAGGGACGGGAGCGCGCGCGCCCGCCTGCTTCCCTGCAAGGCGCTCCGAGCGTGGCTGCTCACTGCCTCCCTCCCTCCCAGTCTGTTCGCTCGCAGCTGCTTTCCCGAGCTTGGAATGCCAGTTGTAGGCAACAGCCAGCCCGGCCCCGCCCTCCCCGGGGAAGCAAGGCATGCTGGGAGTTGTGGTCCGCCTCTCACTTTCGCTGCGCCCGCTTCCGCTTTCTCCGCGCGCCCCTCGGACTACGATTCCCAGAAACCCTCAGGAGGGGAAACGGGGCCCCGCCTCCCTCCGCCCACCTGGCAGAAGGGCTGGCTGACGAACCAGGAATGTAGGTGCAGAGAAGGAAAATGGGCGTTTTTGAAAATAGAGGCACTCTTTCATAAGACTGGGAAGTATTGGGAGGGAAGGTACGAGGGGATATTTTCCCCCTCCTTGTTGAGTCGCTGCCTTAACCAGCTTAAAAGTGGATCTGGTCGTTTAGTATTACTGAAAACATAAGTCTGCCCAGGCCTGAGATATATATATATATGTATTGGCCACCTTGATTAGTATTGAATGGCCTTGCAGCTTCAAAGCCTGGCTGCTTAAGCAGCTGAGAGGGAAAAGGAAGGGGCCTGAGGCTGTGAGGAATTGTGGGAGTTGAAGTCCAAAACACCTGGAGGGCCCAAATTTTATATACCTCAGGCATGGGCAAACTTGGGCCCTCCAGGTGTTTTGGACTTCAACTCCCATAATTCCTCACATCCTCATGCCCCTTCCTTTTCCCCCTCAGCCGCTTAATCAGCCAGGCTTTGAAGCTGCAAGGCCATTCAATGCTAATCAAGGTGGGCAATTGCAACATTCAGGAAAAGGAAGGGGCCTGAGGCTGTGAGGAATTATGGGAGATGAGGTCCAAAACACCTGGAGGGCCTAAGTTTGCCCATACCTCATATATATACATAACACATACTTCTTTGTCAAATGGATTTGGATGTGCATTTTGTGTTGGATAAGGAAATGGGACCCCCTGCTGGCGGCTCGAGGAATAAACAGGCAGCTGGAGTCCTCTGTTTTCTTTGGGTTGCTGTCAGATAACATGAATCTCAAGCTGTGTTCCCTGAACTGACCTAGGGTGCATCTACACTGTAGAATTAATGCAGTTTGACACCACCTTAACTGCCATGGCTGAAGGCTATGGCATCGTGAGAGTTGGAACCTTGCAATATAGCTTTCTCTCAAACTGTTAACACAATATAATATGTTAATGCAATATAATAATACTAATAATATTATATGATTATATATATATATTACATGTACTATTGCTAATAATATTACAATATAATGGTATAGTACAATATAGTAATATTTAATGCTGATATTGTACTATGCTAATAATATAATGGTATTCTCCATAGTCACCTACGGATGTGAGAGCTGGACCATAGGGAAGGTTGAGCGAAGGAAGATAGATGCTTTTGAACTTTTGGTGTTGGAGGAAAGTTCTGAGAGTGCAAGATGGATGGATAGAATCCTTGAAGTGACTGGATTGACCTTGAAGGAGCTGGGGCTGGTGATGGCTGACAGGGAGCTCTGGCATGGGCTGGTCCATGAGGTCGCGAAGAGTCGGAAACGACTGAACAAATGAACAACAACAAAAAATAATATAATATATTGTATGTATCTTGTAATCCACTATGAGTCCCCTTCGGGGTGAGAAGGGTGGCATATAAATGTAAATAAATAAATAAGTGTGTGTGTGTGTGTGTGTGTGTGTGTGTGTAGCCTTCTCTATCAAACTACAAATCCCACTTCATAGCACTGAGCCATGGCAGTTCCAGTGGTGTCAAACTGCATTACTTCTACACCCTAAGGCTTCTGGCTATGATATGTTTTGTGTAGTCCAAAACAAAATGAAGGCATTGGGTTGCTGTGAGATTTCCGGGATGTATAGCCATGTTCCAGAAGCATTCCTTTCTAACGTTTTGCCCACATTTGTGGCAGGCATCCTCAGAGGTTGTGAGGTGGTGTTGGAAACTAGGCAAGTGGGGTGTATATATCTGTGGAATGTCCAGGGTGGCATTCTCTCCTGATGTTTTGCCCACATCTATGGCAGGCATACTCAGAGGTTGTGAGGTCTGTTGGAAACTAGGCAAGTGGGGTTTATATATCTGTGGGAGAAAGAACTCTTGTGTGTTAGAGGCAAGTGTGAATGCTGCAATTGGCCAGCTTGATTAGCATTGAATTGCCTTGCAGCATCAAAGCCTGGCTGCTTCCTGCCTATGGGAATCTTTTGTTAGGAAGTGTTCATTGATCCTGAATGTTTCCTGTCTGGAATTCCCCTGCTCTCGACAACACATTGAAGGCATTATCTCCCCCTTCCCCCCAAAAAAAGTATTCTGCTCCTCCTCTGATTAAATTTTCCTACAATGCCCACATTTCTAGCAGTGCAGTAATGTTACACTTCCATTTTAGGCATTCAAAGAAATAGAGTTAAAGCTTCCAAAGAAAAAGGGTTGCAAAGTTACCAAGAGAACATGAACATAATAAATATAAACGCTGTCCGTATTTATTACAATCGGCATGGTTTAGGTGTTGGACTAGGACGCTGAGAGCCCAGGCTCAAATTCCCACTCAGTCTTTGAAACTCACTGGGTGACCTGGGCCAGTCACACTCACTCAGCCTCAAGGGAAGCAATAGACAAATCCCCTCTGAACAAATTCTGCCTGATTGGTTTCTGCAGCCAAACAGGGATTTGAACCCCCATCTCCAGTCATAGGATGAATCTACCATGTAGAATTAATGCAAGTTGACACCACTTTATCTTCCATGGGAGTTGTAGATCTATACGTTCTTCAGCCTCCTCTCATAAAGAGTATTGGTGTATCACCAAACTACCAATCCCAGGATTCCACAGTTTTGAGCCATGGCCAATTAAAGTGGTGTCAAACGGAATTCATTCTACTGTGCAGGTCCACCCAAGTCCAGCCTCAAAGCGCTACGCCACATTGGCTCATGGGCAAATATATGTAACACTAAACACTGTGTTGCCCAGACTGAGCATTATATAGAAGATCTCTTTAAAAAGTAAAATTCCAAGCAGCTCCTCTTTAAAATACACATAGTTTTACAAACCAACTTCAAATACAAAAGGGAAGAGCAAACATTTCAGTTCAATACTAAGCTCAAATTGAATAAAAATATAAGGATTTACTCACAAGACTTCCAATATATTTGCTCATGTATTCATGAATATACTCATTAGTAAGTCCCTTTGAATTCAGTGGGCTTATGGAACTGCACTCTTAATGGACAGCTGACAAGTACAAATGTTTAAAATCTGATTGGCAGTTTGGGAGAAAAAAAAACTTTCTCCCCATTACAGTTGAGGAACTGAATTGGTGGTTTGGTTTACCCTGTATTTCCTTCCCTGTTATTTGACTGTCAGGAAAGTCATTGTTCATATATATAAACAAAAGCAGTTCTTAAAAGAACTGTATCAGTTTATGTAGTCATTTTCCTGGATACATTTTTCTATTCTTGTCCTTTTCCCAGTTTAGAATCTATGTGGCTTGGATTCTAAACCAACACACATCCCATTTTCAGTGAATCAGATAAATGTCATCTGTGAATATTGTCAGAAGAACTTTTTGCAGATTGCAGCCTATTGTTTCATAATAGATTTTGTATCTATAATATTTGCCACCCTTTAATATGAGACTCTCCACTGAAAACTTTCAAATGCGGATCATGCGTTTCTAAGAAAGAAAATAGCTTATTTTTAAATTAATCTGTGCTATAAAACAGTTTATATACTGTTTTAAAAACAGCCCCTAGTGGCGCAGCAAGTTAAACCGCTGAGCTGCTGAACTTGTTCACCAAAAGGTTGGCAGTTTGAATCCAGAGAGGGGGTGAGCTCCCATTGTTAGCTCCACCTCCTGCCAACCTAGCAGTTCGAAAACATGTAAATGTGAATAGATCAATAGATACCGCTCCAGCAGGAAGGTAACGTCACTCCATGCAGTCATGCATGACCTTGGAGGTATCTACAGACAACTCCGGCTCTTTGGCTTAGAAATGAAGATGAGTGCTAACCCCCAGAGTCGGACACGACTAGACTTAATGTCAAGGGGAAGTGTTTACTTTTACCTTTTATAAAACACTTAAAGGGCTCTGTGTTTGCTTTGTGAATCTAAGTAAAACTATTTACTTTTTAGGAGCTGTGCTGTTATCTGCCAAAGGACACCTGTAGTTCGGGATCAGTTAAATGTAATAACTAGCAGCCAGATCAAATTCTCATGAATTCAATAAGGCTTAGTGTGGATATGATTGCAATCCAACTCATAGCTACTGCTTGGAAAGAATGTGATATCCAGCTTTATGGCTAACCTATCTGTGAGTACCTTTGATCAGCAACAATTACCAGGTGATAACATTAGTATTTCCACCTGTGAGCAAGCTTTATTTGTTAATCCGTGTAAGATCAAGTTGCTGTGCAAGACATCAGTACAGGGGCTGACTAGCTAGATGGCAAGCCTATACAGGCAGTCCCTGAGTTACAAACATCCAACTTACAAACAACTCATAGTTAACAACAGGGGTGAGACACCCCTAGAGGGGAATTTCATTCCTGAAAGAGTTATCTTTATCTTCAATCCTCATTTCCACAACAAGCCACATTTTTCAAAATCCAATTATTGTATAAACTCTAGTATAAACTGACTCGAATATAATCCGAGGCACCTAATTTTACCAAAAAACTGGGAAAACGTATTGACTTGAGTATAAGCCGAGGGTGGGAAATGCAGAAGCTACTGGTAAATTTCAAAATAAAGACACCAATAAAATTACATTAATTGAGGCTTCAGTAGGTTAAATGTTTTTGGATATTTACATAAAACTGTAATTGAAGATAAGACTGTCCAACTCTGATTAAAGCATTATTCTAACCTTCTTCAATGTAAATGTGCTTATGTATCCTCCAATAATAATAATAAACAGAGTAAAATAATAAATTTAATAAAATTATTATTATTTTATTAAATTTATTATTTTACTCTGTTTATTATTATAGAGTAAAATAATGGAAATGTAACAATAATAAATGTAGTAAAATAATAAATGTAATAAAATAATAATAGGGTAAAATAATAAATAATTTTGACTCAAGTATAAGCTAAGGGAGACTTTTTCAGGCTCAAAAAAGGGCTGAAAACCTTGGCTTAGACTCGAGTATATACGGTATCACAGGAACAGAATAGGAAGTGAAATCTTCTGAACAGACAGCAAAACAAAAAACAAACAAAAAACACTACAGGGATGTTAACCCTGCCCTATGCTATCCAAAGATACATAGATATAAATATAAATATATAGATATATATTTGGCCTTTAGCCCAGCTTCCGCCTACCTTGTGGTTCGAAATCAAAAATGTGATCAAATCGGTACCTTTCATAAAAAAGCGGGGGAGGTATTCTGAGAGACCCAGAAGGAATGCCGGCGGATTTAATCCAAAAAGAGGGAGTTACGAACTAGGCCCTTGGCAGGGAAATGGAGCAATAGCACCACCCGCCCTTCGTGGCCGGAAACGAGCACAGCACCTTCCAAGATGCCGAAAGATAGGGAAAACCAATATATAGACCTCTTAAAGGTTTCCCCTGACATTAAATCCAGTTGTGTCTAACTCTGAGATATGGTGCTCATCTCCATTTCTAAGCAGAAGAGCCGGTGTTGTCCGTAGACGCCTCCAAAGTCATGTGGCCAGCATGACTCATGGAGCACTGTATTATCTATGTATAAATTATTTGTGTATAATTGTTTATCTAGTCTATATAAATAAAAATGTAATGTTCATTTGTGGGATTAACATAACTCAAAAACCACTTGACGAATTGACACCAAATTTGAACACAATACACATATCAGGCCAACAAGCGACCATCACTCATAAAAACATTGAAAAACACAGCAGAAGAGACATAAAAAGCCAAAAAACAAAAATTACATTTCAACGCATGCAAAAAACCACATATATATATGCGAACACATATATATACACACACACAAAACACATATATATATAGACTGGGCCACAGCAACGCGTAGTGGGGGACAGCTAGTTGTGCATAAAATAGCGTTGAATGTTAGCCGCGTATGTATGTTCTGTTTTTGTTTTTGTTTTGTTGTTGTGTCAGGAGCTACTTGAGAAACTACAAGTCGCTTCTGGTGTGAGAGAATTGGCCGTCTGCAAGGACGTGGCCCAGGGAACGCCCGGATGGTTTTGATGTTTTGTCATCCTTGTGGGAGGCTTCCCTCATGTCCCCGCATGAGGAGCTGGAGCTGATAAAGGGAGCTCATCCACACTCTCTCCAGATTTGAACCTGCAACATATCGGTCTTCAGTCCTGCCGGTACAGGGATCACAGGTATGTTCTGTGATCCACCCTGAGCCCCTTCGGGGTGAGACTGTAAGTAAATACTGTAAGTAAATAAATAAATAAATTCCTTGTTTTCCCACAATTGCATTCATGGTCTGGGCAAGATTTGTGCATTTGTGGGTTGTTTGCTAGTGTAACTCCCTGAGGTCGAGAGAGTGTGACTCCCCAAAAGGTTTCATGGCCAAATTGGTCTGCAGAGGACTCAGTAACCCAACACATAAATTGGGAGTGAGGCTGGATTTATGCTACTGTATAATCCGGTTTCCAATTCCAGATTATCTGTTTTGAACTGGATTATAGGGCAGTGTAAACTTGTATAATGGAGTTCAAAGATCTGGGATGAGATCCAGGGTTATAGGATAGCATACATCCAGCCTCAGGCGCCACAGTGCTTTGGTGGTCATTTAGAAAAGCACCTGCTAAGGCTAGGAAGGCCTTTGTGGGAATGCAACCATTTCCTTTCCCAAAAGCAAAACAAACCCGGGCGTTTGACATATTGCCAGATGCGTTCTTTTAATTGTATTTGTTGAGCATGGAGTGAAAGATCCCAAAGTGTGATGCCGCAGAGCCGCCGCTAGGGGGCGGGGACCGACTCCATGTTGAGGAGAAGCGCGGGAAAGCGGGACGAAACCGCTCCAACTCGGCCCGCACTGTAGAATTAACGCAGTTTGACAGCACTTTAACTGCCAAAAGCTCATAGGAGTTGTAGCTTGGTGAGGCACTAGCACTCTTTGATAGAGAAGGCTAAAGAGGTTGCAAAACTGCAAGGATTCCACCGCATGAAGCCATGGCATTTAAAGCGCTGCCAAACTGCGTTAATTCTACAGTGCAGATGGGCGTAAGAGTTGCAGCAAGGAGCCAGGGTCCAATTTTGCAGCTTTCCAACTGCATGAATTCTAGATCCACCCACATTGTATTATCATTATCATGATAATATATATAATATCATTGTATTATATATATTATAAAGTATTATTATAAACAGCCCTGGCTTCATCCCTATCGGGATCCTCGGCTTTACAGAGAAAGGTAAACATTGGGTTGCTGTGAGTTTTCTAGGGTGTATGGCCATGTTCCAGAAGCATTCTCTCCTGACGTTTCGCCTGCATCTATGGTAGGCATCCTCAGAGGTTGTGAGGTCTGTTGGAAACTAGGCAAGTGAGGTTTATATATCTGTAGAATGTCCAGGGTGAGATCACCTTGATTAGCATTGAAAAGCCTTGCAGCTTCAAGGCTTGGATGCTTCCTGCCTGAGGGAATCCTTTGTTGGGAGGTGAGGGGATAATATATCTGTAGAATGTCCAGGGTGGGAGAAAGAAGTCGTGTCTGTTTGAGGCAAGTGTGAATGCTGTAATTTATCATCTTTATTAGTATTGAAAAGCCTTGCAGCTTCAAGCCTTGGCTGCTTCCTGCCTGGGGGGAATCCTTTGTTGGGAAGTGAGGGGTTTATATATCTGTGGAATGTCCAGGGTGGGAGAAAAAACTCGTGTCTGCTTGAGGCAAGTGTGAATGCTGCAATTGAGCACCTTGATTAGCATTGAAAAGCCTTGCTGCTTCAGGGCTTGGCTGCTTCCTGCCTGGGGAAATCCTTTTTTTGGGCGGTGTTAGCTGGCCCTGATTGTTTCTTATCTGGAATTCCCCTGGTGTTCTTTATTTACTGTCCTGGTTTTAGAGTTTGTAAATATTGGTTGCCAGATTTTGTTCCTTTTCATTTCCTTTCTGTTGACATTGTCCACAACATGTTTGTGGATTTCAATGGCTTCTCTGTGTAGTCTGATAGGGGTGGCTGTCAAAGTGGTCCAGCATTTCTGTGTCCTCAAGCAATATGCTGTGCCCAGGAATGCGGTGCCAAAGCGGTACAAGCCGTGCCGTGTGGCCGCCCTGCAGGCGTGTGCGTGTTTTCCTCCCCAAGTCGGATCACATGGCCCAGAGAGAGAGGGGGGGGGGCGATCTGTGTATGTATAATAAAAACAGAAAAATGGCGACAGTAGTCACGTTGTGGCGAGCCTTTGCTGCTGCGTCATGAGATAATCTTCCTGCAAAAGAGCCCTAAGAACAAAGGCAGAAGGGGGAGAAATGTGGGGGGAAATAATAAGGAAAGGGGGAAGCAAAGGGAAGGGGGTTAGAGGGGGTGAAAAGGGGTGGGAGTGGGCAGGGAGGAGGGAGGAGAAGGCGGGGAAAGAGGGAGGGAGGAAGAGGAGGGAGGAAGAGGAGGGAAGACACGGGTGTTGGTGGGTTCATTCTTGCCAGGCGCCTCTCCTTCTCTCTCTCTCTCTGTTTTGGAGTCTCAGCTCTGGACAGGACCCAGGAAGCCCACCTCCAGGTCTGTGCCTAGCAAAGGGGAGGGGGAGGGCTTTATTTGGGTTGCCTTTGCCATGGCTGGGCGAGGAAGAGGGTCTGGAAGGCAGTGGAGGGAGGAATGTGGGGCTTCCCCACTCATGTTTATCCCCACACCTCTATTATTATTATGTTATGATCCCTATTAGCCATGTATTATCCGCCCTGCTTCAACCACTAGGCGAGAGGATGCTGAGAGGAGCCAACTCCAATCCCTTTACCTTCCTGGATGTTTACAAAATTGGGAATAGTAGGGAAATAGGCAATCTTGGTGGGGATCATAATAATGATGATGATGGGGAGGGGGGGGTATAAGAGAGACTCCTGCTTTTGAGAGGGAGAGGGTTTTGGATTTTCTCTATGTTCAGGCGAAAATAAATAATGTTGCGCACTCTTTTATTTTTCCCCAAGACTTCTGGCACGGCTCCCCTCCAGTCAAGTGATTGTAAATATAGCCCGGGATGTTGTTTACATGAACCATCCAGGAGGAGGAGCGTAGGAAAGAGGAGGAGGAGGAGGAAGAAGAGGAAGACGGAGGAGTCACCAAGGCTGGGGTGAGTATCCCAAAAGGAGGAGCCAGTTTTGCTGCTGCTGCTCAGCTGTCACTTTCTCTCGGAGGTCCCTGCAAGCAAGAAAGTCCCACCAGGAGATCCCGCCAACCTGCCTTGCTTGGAGTTGCCCCTTGGGCTCGATGCCAGTTGCCAGGGAAGATCAGCTACAGGGCGCCTGTCGCTTTAAGGGTGGCGCAGGAGAGTGGCATTCTGCTTGTGGGACAAGCCGAGCCTACTGAGGTTCCCCCTTCCGCACATACAGCCCGGTCTGTCCCATATCTCACCTGGAAGCAGGCAATCCTCTTTCTCCTTTTTCTCCAGCCAGCTGCCAAGAAGTGGATCTTCCCGCTTTTCGGGCCTTTTGACATTTTTCAGCCAGTGGCAGCAAGGATCCCAGAGCTGTTTACAAACGGGGCAGGAATCTCAAGATTGGTAGGCAGGTAGTGCTTGATTTTAATTACTTCCAGGCTTTTTAAAGAAAGGAAATTGTTATTGTTTATTTAAATAGCACCATCAAATATACATTGCGTTTAACCATAATGATGGATCCTAGCAAAGATATATAAACCCCATTTTCCTAGTTTCCAACAGACCTCACAACTTTGGAAGATGCCTGCCATAGATGCGGGTGAAAAGTCAGGAGAGAATGCTTCTGGAACATGGCCATACAGCCCAAAAAACTCACAACAACCCAGACCCTACAAAGATGTCCAGTTTAGAATATATAGAGACCTCCTCTTCCTCCAGCTGAAATTAATAACAATCCTTAAATACCATGACTGACAATTGACAAATTGTCAATTGCTGACTGACACCTCACTACCTCTGAGGATGCTTGCCATAGATGCAGGCGAAACATCAGGAGAGAATGCCTCTAGAACATGGCCATATAGTCTGAAAAATCCTACAACAACCCAATTGAAGAGAGGGCAAGCATTTTTTTTGTTGCGCTAGAGTTCAGGGCCCTCCGTGGATTAAACCATGGAGCTGCTGAATTTGGTGACCGGAAGGTCAGCGATTTGAATCCGGGGAGTGGGGTGAGCTCCCGCTGTTAGCCCCAGCTTCTTCTGCCAACCTAGCATTTCAAAAACATGCAAATGTGAGTAGATCACTAGGTACCGCTCCAGCAACAGCACTTCATGCACTCATGTCGGCCACGTGACCTTGGAGGTGTCTACGGACAACGCCAGCTTGGAAATGGAGATGAGCACCACCCCCCAGAGTCAGACACAACTAGACTTAATGTTAAGGGGAAACCTTTACCTTTACTTTAGAGACAGGGCATGGAGCAATAGATTCAAATTGCAGGAAAAGAGATTCCACGTAAACATTAGGAAGAATTTCATGAATTTTTGAGCTGTTCAACAGAGGAATATGATGATTATGATGGTGTGTGTTAGAGGCTCTCTTCTTTGGAGGGTTTTAAGTAGAGATTGGATGGCCATCTGTCAAGAGTGCTTTGATTGTGTGCTCCTACCTGACAGGAGGACTGGATGGCCCTTGGCGGTCCCTTCCAACTCTGCGATTCATCTAATTTCTTAGTGGGCTCAATTTTGTTGGTGCCAGATTATTTCCTCCCATCCTCTCCCCATAACATAAGGGGGCTTAGCAGCCCCAGTTCCCTCCATTCTGTATCTGTGAGTGGAAGCTACGGTGGTCAAGACTATTTTGCTTCTTCCACATGGTGCTGGAAATGTTTTTAGGGAGGAAGGATGATTTGGATACAAGAGAAGCAAATCATTATTTGATGTAGAGTGTGTTTGCATTTTACTGCAAGAGGGTTGTGCCAAGTTTGGAAAGCTGTAATGTCAACAGCAGGCAGTAAGTCTATAGCCCTTGGGCTGAGATTTCTTCCAGCATCGGGGTTTCCAGCTGTCAGTCAAGAAATCATCCCACTTGCCTGTGTTCATTTACAGCTGACAGAAAGGGAAGCTTCAATCTTTGTACCTCATTGTGCCTCTAGCTCACCTTCCTTTTATTTTTTAATAAATGTATTATTTATATCCAGGCCTTTTCCTTGGCCACTTAAGTACAGTAAAACCCCTATATCCATGGGGGATACATTCCCAGACAGCCCATGTTTACCTGAAACAATGAATACAACTGAATGTCATTACATTACCTAATTTCCAGTCCAGCATATCACAGGATGGCCCTGGAGGACCTAGCAATTTCCTAGAGAGGCCATTTCCCTCCAGTGTGGGTAAGTGAAACTGCAAATATGGATTCCGTGATGTAATTTAAAACAAAATAGCTCAAATAATTTGCAGTACAAAATAACATTTAACAAGCCATCCAATTAAAACATTGTTATTTATTCATTTATTTATTTTGAATCATAGAGTTTTGGAGTTGGAAGGGGCTACAGGGGCGCAAACCTGCCATGTAGGAATACACGTCTTTACACTCCCAAAAGATTCCCGCCTAACCTCTATTTAAAGTACTTCAAAAAAGGAGCCTCCATCCCCTTCCAAGGCTGTGTATGTATGTATGTGTGTGTGTGTATATATGTGTGTGTGTGTGTGTGTGTGTGTGTGTATGTATGTGTATTTATTTACTTATTTACTTACAGTACTTCTTTTCAGCCCTTCTCACCCTGAAGGGGACTCGGGGCAGATCACAGAACACATATACAGCAAAAATTCAATGCCGATAATAATAATAATAATAATAATAATAATAATAATAATAATAATCTTTATTTCTACCCCGCCACCATCTCCCCGATGGGGACTTGGAGCGGCTTACATGGGGCCAAGCCCGGACAACATAATACAGCAATAAAATCAAAGCATATACAACAGGCAACAACAACATCATCAAAATGACATTAAAATAGTAATAAAATAACAATAATAACAATAATAATAATAATAATAAAAACAAACCATTATTATACAATGACAGGTCAGATAACAGATAGAGGTATATATAGGCTTGTTCCTATCATTTGGCAGATTTCGAGGTTGTGCTTGGTTCCGGCCACAGGGAGGTGTTGTTGCTCCATCTCCTTGCCAAAGAGCTTTCTTTGTAAATTTTCCTCTGAAACACATGCCTAAAATACCTCCCTGCTGAGTGCAGTTCCTATTCGTCTACTCACATTGCTTTTTTCGATCCGCTAGGTGGGCGGGAGCTGGGCTGAAGATCAGGAGCTCACCCTGACCTGACTTCGAACTGTCAACCTTTCGGCTGGCAAGATTTGCTGCAGCTGGTGATTAACCTGCTGTGCTAATCCAGCCTTTTTTCCCACTATTGAACTATTTTTATTTATTCTCGCTAAGTCATGGGACCAAATAAAGTCCTTCTTGTCAAAGCAGGCCCAGTCAGGATAGGAGATGGAGTGTTGAAGAATGAGAGAAGGGAGGTGTAGCACAGTGGCTGTGCATCCCTCATGTCACCAAGGTGGGGATTATATGCTCTCTCCCTTTAGCTTTTGGACTGCCACTCCCAGCAGAGAAATGCTGGGAGTCACACATCTAAAGGACTGCATGATCCCCATCTCACACATAAGCTAAGAGTTTTGAAGCAGTAGAGATGGCTTTCTAAATGCTACATGAGTCAAAGTTGTCTTATCTGCAAAGCTTGTGAAGGTCACAAGGGTTCTGAAATTTTAAATGACTGAACGTTACTGCTGTATGTAAGTGTGGCATTTGCATTGCGCTTGTCCTCTTACCAACCTTTTGAGGCAACTCAAGTTGAAAGTGGCAAATTCTGTGGAGTAGCAATAGCAGCAACAGTGAATATTGGAAGGCAAAGCTTTGTGTGCCTCATTCTAGCCCAAGCCTTGGCAAACTTTGACCCTCCAGGTGTTTTGGACTAACTCCCACAATTCTGTGAGAGTTGAAGTCCAAAACATCTGGAGGGCCAAAGTTTGCCCATGCCTGGTCTAGCCTGTCATCTTCAGATGTGGTGGAGAATAGTGTTCTGTTGGTGGTAGTGAAATAAGATTCAGTTGCCTGTCCAGCTGTTTGGGTTTTTTTGTTTTGTTTTGCACATGGAATGGAGGAAGAAACCATTTTGTCCCTTGTCTTAGGCAACACAACATCTGAGAACCAGTCCTGGCTCAAGGCCCATCCAGTGGTTTTGTGGCTGAGCGGAAATCAAAACTCCTTTGTCTCCTGCCCAGAAACCAATACTATTTTCTCATTCCATGGAGAGTCTGAGAAGACTTGTCCTTTTATAGGAAAACATTCTATCAACCATATTGATCCTGGGCATATTTAAATTTCACTTACTTCATTGGGAGCCTGGCTTAATTGTATAGAATGGCAATTATAAATTCAATCCTGTTTTCAGTGCACAGCAATCCAGGTAGACACTGAGACCATAAATAAATAAATAAATAAATAAATAAATAAATAAATAAATAAATAACACGATCCTAGGTGCTTGGGAAGTGTTTGACTTGTGATTTTGTGATAGAAATCCAGCATATATATCTTGCTTGCTGTGACATATTGTGTTTTAGTGTTAGTAAAATAATAATAATAATTTTAAAAAATCTTTATTTATATCCCGTTTTTCTCCCTCACGGAATCCAAAGCGGCTTACAACATATTAAAATCATGTGAACAACATCAAGAATAAGTATAAAACATCATAAAATTACAATTTAAAGAAATAGTAACATACTGTACATTCAAATTCTTGTGGCATCATGTCAGATCATATTGCACTTTGCAGTGCCTGAGAGCATGGACAGAGTGCCCTTCTACCACTCCTGAGTGGCGATTATCACCATGATGTCTAGATTTGAGTGGCTACACTTCATCAATTAGCAATTTACTTAATCGGGTAGATTAAGCTTACAGCATTCTGAAATTGGGTTTTTTGTAATAGGAAGTACAAGGCAACCTGTGATCATATGGAATAAGATACAAAGTTAAAATATATAGCATTGTCTTTAAAAATGATATTTGGTAGCTTTATATTTAGCTAGCCAGTAGAAGAATACTGTTGCCATTTCTTCTCTGTCTGGACATTCATGCCACTTACAGGTCAAA